CAGCTGACATTGGTGACTTCACAAGGTCAGGGGTGACATCATAGAGACAGCAGTGACATCATCGAGGACAATGGTGACATCACAGGGGACAGTGATGTTATCACAGAGACAGCAGGGATATCATTGGGGACCAGTGACATCAAAGTGACAAAAGAGGGACAGCAGTGATGTCACAGGGACATCAGTGACATCAAAGGTGTCTGGTGACATCACAGGGACATCAGTCACATCACAGGGAAATGGTGACACTGCTGGGGACAGTGGTGACATTATTAGTGAGCAGTGACATCACAGGAGAATGCTGACAGCAAACGGAGAGCGGTGATGTCACAGGGACATTGGTAAATTCACAAGGAGAGGGTTGACATCATAGAGAAACCAGTGACATCTTCAGGGATAGTGGTGACATCACAGGGACATCAGTGACATCATTTTGGACAATTGACATCACAGGCGACTGATCAGAAGAAAGGGACAGCGCTGATGTCACAGAGAAGTTAGTGACATCATGGGGACATGGAGCCACATCTAGGGACAGTGGTGACATCACAGAGAAAGCAGTGACATCATTGGGGACCAGTGACATCACAGGGGACTGTTGACCAAAAAGGCACAGCTGTGATGTCACAGGGACAGTGGTGACATCACAGGGGACATTGGTGACATCACAAGGCCAAGTGTAACATCACAGAGACAGCAGTGACATTATTGGTGACACTGGTGGTGCCACAGGGGATGGTGATGACATCACAGAGACAGCAGTGACATCAACAGGGGCGTCTGTGACATCACAGCTGAGAGCAGTGATTTCACAAGGCAAGGGGTGACATCACAATGTCACACCAGTGACACTATCGATGACACTGATGACATCACAGGGGATAGTGGTGACATCATCGAGTTCCAGTGACCTCATAGGGGACTGTTGACAACAAAGGGACAGTCATGATGCCACAGGACTTTCGGTGACATCACAGGGGACTGTGGCAACATCACAGGGGACCGTTGCAACATCACAAAGACATCAGTGACATCATCGAGGAAATTGGTGACATCACAGGGGACAGTGGTGACATCACTGAGACAGCAGGGACATCACTGGGGACCAGTGACATCAAAGTGAAAACAGAGGGACAGCAGTGATGTCACAGGGACATTGATGACATCAAAAGGGTCTGGTCACATCACAGGGACATGATGGTACTGCTGGGGACAGTGATGGTATCACAGTGACAGCAGTGACATTATTGGGGAGCAGTGACATCACAGGAGAATGTTGACAACAAAGGGAGAGCTGTGATGTCACCGGGACATCGAGAAAAACACAAGGAGAGGGTTGACATCATAGAGACACCAGTGACATCATCAGGGACAGTGGTGACATCACAGGGACACCAGAGAAATCATTCGGGACCAGTGACATCACAGGAGACCTGTGACAAAAAAGGAAAGCCCTGATATCACAGGGAAATCAGTGACCTCAGGGGGACATGGAGTCACCCCTGGGGACAGTGGTGATATCACAGAGACAACAGTGACATCCTTGGAAACCAGTGACATAACAGGGGACTGGTGACAACAATGGGAAAGCCGTGATGTCACAGGGACATCGGTGACATCACAGGGACATCTGTGACATCACAGGGGACATCAGTGACTGCACAAGGCCAGGGGTGACATCACAGACACCAGTGCTATTATCAGTGTCACTGGTGACATCATAGGGGATAGTGGTGACATCCCAGGGACATGGGTGACATCACTGCAGTCATCAGTGGCTTCACAAAGACAGGGTTGACATTATAGAGACACCAATGACATCATCGTAAAAATGGGTGACATCACAGGGGACAGTGGTGACATCACAGGGAGAAAGGTTACATCACTGGAGAACAGTGACATCACAGGGGACTGATAACAATAAAGCAGTGATGTCACAGGGACATT